ATTTATGTGATTTTTTGACAAATTATTTTTAAAATAAGTTCACCTTTGTTTACACTTACACAACAAAATAGAACATTACTTTAGGAAACTCCACTATCATTTCCTCAACTCTTACCATCAAAAACACAAAGAAAATCAGTCGAATCATCAGCAAATGGAGTTGAATTCATTTATCTGCCCAGGTATCCAATAACGCAGCTCCGGCGAAGGCAATTTCAAGTGCCACACGATGGGCTGATGCGTCATGACGGGCTGCGTGCCAAATCCCCGCCAGAGTCCACATATATGGAGTATATCCATATATAGTATGCCACACATCGCAGTTATCGAGACATTTGCGAGGGGTCATTAAGGACTTCGTTTTTGGAGGGGGCAACCAATGCCGAGAATGAGGATTTCCATATTTCATAGTATTCAGCTCCATTATGAGTCGTCATTTCTCCCGAATGTAGGTATAAAACTAGGGAAGGAAAATGCGGAAAAGCGAAAGAAATAGGGGCTTCTTTTCTGGCTCGCGTGCTGAAATTTGTTGGATTGCTTTCGGGCTGAAACGTGGGCGTAGAAAATATATATGGTAGAGAAAAGCCGGGGGCAGTGGCAGTTAACCAATGACATAGCCTGACCCATTCGGGGGTTGATTTTGCACCTCGGCGCGTGCCGCCCATCCATCTACCACATCTACACTGATCAAAAAATGGACTAGTAACAACAGCAATATATATCTAATATTTAAATTAAATATTAAGTCATAATTGCGTATTAAATTTCATGATTTAAAATTGTAATATTTGAATAATGTGGTAAATATTAGATTTAAAATATTTCCTATTTGATTTAAATGCATTTTATTTAAGTCAAATATGGCTTAAATTTAATTTACATTTTAAGATTTTATAATCCATTTCGAAAATAGTCAAATTAAATATTTCAAGTAACTAAAAACCGCAATTGATAAAAATCAAATCGAAAAATATTAAAATTTGGTTTGGTTTTAATACGTGTTTTTACCAGTGTACACCCACCCACTCCTATCCGCCTGTGTGTCGTAATTTGAAATACTTTCCATTTTGTTGTCCGCCAAAAACCCCACCGAAAATCCCCCCTACCTGAAAACCCAGCAAAGAATCCTGGCACGCGATGTCCTTTCCGGTCGTCGTTGTTTCCTCTTTACATCTGAAAAGTGGAAGTGGGGTAGTGGCAGTGGCAGTGGTGTTGTGCTAGACATGGGGCATACTCCATTTTCTATATAGTTTTTTTTTTACTTTATTCATACCATACCATCCACCTTCTGAAATAGCCTGTTCGTGACTGACTGGCAAATAAAAACTCAGGGAAAAAAGGAAAGAAACGACGCATAATTTGTGCCAGTGTCCCTGTCCATGTCCTTTTCCGTTTTCCCTGTCCGTATCCGTGTCCGTGTCCGTTTTCCATGTCCGTGTCCGTGTCCATGTCCGTATTCCCCATTCAAGTATTCAACGAACTTGTGTGAGTCTGCCGCAGTGCTGTTCTGTGATGACGTGTTTTCGTGGATATTGGCTCGTTTCCGTTCCGGATTGGCTGGTCGAAGAAAAAGGGGCTGAAACCTTACCAACAATTGGTCAACTGGCCAGTGGTGAGTGCTCACATTAAACAGCCAATCCCAAAATGGAACACTAATAAATAGCAGACATTGCTATATATAGTTCTTGATAACGATTTAAACATTTGATAGCATTTATATGCTGTATAAACAACATTTTTATTTTTATAACATTTAAGGGGAACTTAGCTCTATAAACATTATTTGTGCGAACAGTTATATATAAGCTATTATTCAAATTATTATAAACCTTAGACGTTGTCATAGAAGTAAATAGACATCATTTATGTTGGATTTATAGACCAATGCGTCTGAACTTTATTTCTTTCTTAACTCCTTTTTTCTTAGAACACCAGCAGCAATAGTTGACTATTTCGATAATTGTATATATTTGTTTACTATTTTTGACTACAAATTATTTAATTAAATGAAAATCCATCGAAATTGTTGCCTTAGCTTCTTGTTTTCCACTTTTTTAGGTCCATTTGTATCCCTTTTAGTAACCCCTTTAATTTTGATAATATTCCAGTGATCGCTTTCCATACTACAAGTCCAATGATGACCGCTGGAAGAACTCGGTGCGACACAACCTCTCGATTAACCCACATTTTCGCAAAGGTGTGAAAGCGCCCCAGGGAGCCGGTCACCTGTGGGCCATTTCCAGCGGCGATTCGGCCGAAAACGTACTGGCCTGGGAGCATGTGAGTGTTGTGTACACCTACAAACTTTAAGAACTTAACTAACAACAATTGTATTGCAGAAGAAGCAACGCTTGGACTTGTTCTTCAAAATGGAGTCCATAAATCGGGAGCGCATACAGCAGCACCAGCAACAGCAGCAACTGCAACAACAGCAACAGCAGCAACAGCAGCAACAGCTGCAGCAGCAGCAACACTCGCCGCAGCAACATGCCACACAGCAGCAACATCAGGCGGCACAGCAGCAACATGCAACACCAGCCAGCAGTTGTTTGTACGATGAGGCCGCTGTGGCTGCGGCCACTCTCACCCAGGAAATGATGTCGTCCAGTGGTGCAGGCGGCGGGGTCAGTGAGCAGATCCCATCCCAGCAGAACCACCACAACCACCAGAGCCACCACAATCACAACCACAATCACCACCAAAGACTGCTGCCCTTCAACGATCTGCTGAGCGACGATGAGCTGCGAAAGACAGCGGGCCAAATACTGAACGGAATCCATCGCGAGGTGGAGGTCCAGTCGGTCAACTCCATCATCAGCACTTACCACGACGTCCTGCTGGACAATGGTGAGTACTTGGCCATTAAAATGTATTTATCTTAAGGAAAAGGAAAGGAATGCAAGGCAAGATTTATACTTTTATTGTTCTTCTAAGAACTAGAAAGGTGTTACGTCTGGAAAAGTATACATACTTAAAAAATATACATTACATTTAAATTAGAATTAGTCGATCTGCACTAAAATGAACGAGATATATTATTTAAAAGATACGAATTTGTTTGCCTTTACCACAAAAGTTAAAAACTAAATTTAAAATAAATTTTATAGTACTTGATCGTTTAAATTTTGTACAGATTTATATGTTTGATTAATTAAAAATCTAGTTTTAAACTTTAAATACCTGTTGTATTGTGAAATGTTCATGTCATATTCAACAATTGTTGTAATCCAAGCCAAAAAGTGTGATCTTATTGTGTACGTAAAATTGTTTTATAACTCATTGTTTATTTACAACCACGTTTAAAGATAATAAGAATAACGTTGATTTTTCTATCTACTCGACCAGAAGACTACCTCAATCCCATACACAAGGATGTGGTGGTCACGGAAAGTGTCCTTCGGCAGCAACACGGAAACTTGGGCGGCGGCAGCGGCAATCACATGGGTGGCAATGGAAACGGAAACGGAAATGGCCACATGGGCGGCGGCAGCTCGCAGTACTACATCACCGAAATCGATCCCATGGAGCTGGGCATCCAGATGTCGCACCAGGTGGAACCCTCCGAGGAGGAGGTGCTCTTCAGCGACGAGTTCAACCTCAACTACTTTGGCTATAACACCGGCAGCGATATCGTCGCTTGACCGCGCAGACAACAACCAACAGCTCCTCAAGCTCCAGCTCCAGCAGCTCCAGCTCAGCCAAGCAATTGAAAAACACATACTATATATCCTGCTCGAACGATCCGGCTCCATGCCATGACAAACAATCGTAATTGTAGCCGATCTACTCATAAGCCAACTCTAAACGAATACTAGTCACACTTCAAAACCAAAAACCAAAAACAAAAAACAACTTACATGTAACCACCTAACCATTTAGCCCCTATGTATAGTTTGTACCCCTTTTTTTTGTCTATACTTTAGTTGAATACCTAGCCGATAAGTAGCTTGCTAGCATTAAGTACTTATCCCTATATCTATGTACTATATCTATCTGCAGATCTGACCTACTATACATACTTAGCTCTTGCTCTCGTCTCCGAATTTAGTTAAGTGTTTTTACATGTAGCCGAATATCCGTAGATATTAGCAGACAGAACGATTTCCTCTCCTTAAATATGTTAGCAAAACCAGGGCTAAAGGCAGACGAAGTACTACTTATCCTAGTGCCCAAACCTTACCCATGTCCGTAGAACTAATGGCACCTAACTGGTTTTATTCATTATGGCAAAATAAACCTTTTTTTTTATTAAAACAATTTGACTATTTTGGTTAAAAAGAAGGAAACAGCAAAGGACCAAAGCCATTTGTGTTGGCAAGCGTCCGTTTAAATTAATAAAGTTCAGCGGAATAAGTGCTTGGGAATTTTAAGGTTGTGCCTGCGATATCAAAGAATCCTAGCTGCTTTAGTCTTGACAACATCCAATCCAATTAGGTGGTTGTAAAACGGGCTAAATAGCTAAGATTTTAGTTTGTCTGCTAAATTATATATATGTGTTGCATTATACCAGTATAAAATCATACTATTTTATAAAAGAAAAAAGGCTTATGTCCAGACATAACCATAAAATGGCTAAATGATCGGCATTCTTGCCCGCCTAGAGGGGGACTTGCGATCAGTTGCTGGCGCGCCACCTGCCGGCGAATATTGGGCAGCGCTGCGGCAGAGGGAGAGCAGAGTAGAGATGGGAAAACATTGACGTTGCCCCCGCAAACATCGATGAAACCGATGTTTCTACACCTCTAACAGAGGAAAACTAACGGAACTAAAGAACTAACGAAGAAATGTAAGTTAAACGCGGAACCAACGAGAAATGTTAAGAGAACGTCGAACTAACAGAAAGAGAGAGCGAGAGAGTAAAAATAACATTGAAAAGGCAATTACAATGCGTTCCGCCAAACATCGATGAAACATCGATGACATCGATCTATTCAAAACATCGTTGTCATCGATGTTCTCCCATCTCAACTCTTCTTTCCCTCGGCCGCAGCGATTTGAAACTCTCGAAAGCGAACGGTCGTGGCTCGCTCCCGGTTTCTAAGTTGTTCTTGTGCTTGTGACTTTGTTTGCATTTGCACACTATCTTTGTGTTTGCTCTTGCATTTGCGTTTGCGCCGTTGCCACACAATTGTTTTTGTTGACGTGCGCGCGTGTGTCTTTGCGACTTTGTTTGCTTTTGTGGACCTAAAATCACTTGTTGCTAAATGCTTTTTCCCTTTTTGGTTACGATTTGGCCAAAAGAGAGAGATGAAGGAGAAAAACAAATAGTGGCCGCTAGTTGAGTTTTGTTTGTGTTTGCTGAGAGTTTTTTTTTGTGGTTTTTTGTTCAAGTGAAAGCGTGTGAAAAGTGGCCAACGCACTCTCTTTTTGGCTCTCTTTTGGCAAGTTAACTGCGGACCCCGACACTCCAGCGATATCCATATCCACATCCATATCCTGCCTTGCGGCCAACCCAACGCTTCCGGTCAACATGCAACCGCAATTGTTGCATCGCCGCAGCCTCCGTCCTTCATCGCTATTATCTTCATTATCAGCATCACCATCAGCATTATTATCATCGCCATCGTTTTAGCCACAGGTGTAGATCACAGGTAAGTGATACCTTCAGCCATGCCGGGTTATGACATCTAGCTAATCTGATTAGGTTTTTCTTTTTTTTCTTGGTATGTGAGATCCGAGATTGGAGGTAGTGGGGATACCCAATCCATCAATCATTCATTCAATCGCTGATCCGCCTGGGAAGTGATTTTCTTCGGTTTGTCAGGGGAGGAACTTTGGAGAAAGGGGAGAGAACATGGGTTCTGGCTAGGTGTAACTCGACTGGTAATCAGGGTTTTCCTTGATTATTATTTGACCCTCTGAGTACCAATGAAAATTTGTCTATTGGAGGTCGGTTGAAAAGTCGGTCTTTAACATTGAATGAGAGTTCCTCTTACAATAAAACTTGATGTTCCTTGAATAATTTTTGGAATTCATGTTAATATCTGAAAACTTTATTTAAATTTAATTTAAAATTTAATATTAAAAAAATGAATTTTAAATCAATTAGTAACTATTATAAATCTAATGTTTTCAACATTAAATTAAATATTTTAATATCAAATCATGCAATTAAATATGCATTGTACCTAATATTATTTGTGTGTTATATACAAAATTGTAAATTCAATAGTCTTATACTTATGTTACTAATAATATTTTTATCAGTTAACTGAAATTGTTCTTAATTTATTGCATTTCATTGTTGAGTCAGTCATTTATAATCTGAATTCTACTTAACGAATTTGGAGCTCGGGGTTCAAATGTTGACACCAAAACAGTGATTCGCAATGAAAGCCTTCAGATGCACAAAAAGCCATAACAGATTCATGGCTTCCGATGGTTTCTCAGTCGGTTTTTTTCTTTTTTGCCAGGGAACTCTTATTTTGGCCTGTTCTTGTTTCGCATTTTTGGCAAACACTTTTTTGTAATGTCTGCTTAGCTGGATTTTGTGGCTCCGGCTTCTTTGGCTGTCATTTCATTCAGATTGAGACAAGTAGTTGGCTTTTTCGGGGTCAGTCACTCTCGATGCGAGCGTATACGTGAAATACATGTATGTTTGGCATATTTCAAGAGCCACTGATTGATGGCAAAGGTTTTGCTTTAGTTATTGCATTTTTTCGCCATTTTTTTTATTATAAAGTTTTGTGGTGTATTGGGGAAAACCGACCGTGGCAGTTTCCCATTTAAGTTGTCCCAGTTGCGTTAAATTTGCGTAGCTGCCTCGCATGAGATTTTTTCGAGTTTTTCACCTGCTTCAGCAACGCCTTCAGGTGCGTAGCTCCGTTCAGGTAATCGATGCGTTCGTTCGACTTGGCAAAATGCTGTCCCGTTAAGTGCTGTCGCCGCCAAAAGATTGTTAATTGCCGCTGTGGTCGCCAAACCCGTAATTTTGAGGGGCATTGGGGGGTTAGAATGGCGCAGTCTGCGAGCTGCCACTGCCATGTAATTAAAAACCATCAGCGATCATCGTAGGTTGCCCACCAATTTCATATGGCAAAAAATGAAAAATAAAGTGAGAACTAAATGGTCGACTGTGGTCGACTGTGGTCGACTGTCACTATCCAAAACTATAATTGTCTCATAAATGCCCTCACTTGATTGGTTTGTTTTACTTTAATATCAGTATTATATGTTTTATAATCAAAAACCAAATCGAAATGTTTGCTAGGGCAGGAGAAACTAATATTTCTATGGGTCACATACAAACAGTTACAGCGTCTGGAAAATGTTTCTTTTTTTCTGCTAAAATCAAAGGAGAAAGGGCAGAAGCGTGGAGTAAAAATTTTGTAAGGCAAAAGTTTAAAGTTATTGCTGCTATTTTGAATTGGAGCAACATTGCAAGACACACATGCCGGCACACACAAACAAATGTCAATTTAGCAATTGTTCAAAGTAAATTGCGTGAGACTCAAACGAGTTGAAGTCGAGGCGGTTGACCTAATGCCCAACCATAGAAGTTATAACCGAAGCACAAAGAAATTGTGGACTCAAATCATTGCGAAATTTGAGGAATTGTGGAGCCAAACTGAAAGGGAATTATACAAAATGGGCAAAAGCTTTACAAATTTGTACATATTTTTTATATCTCATAGTTGAAAAGGGATCTGTACTGATTTTAAGAGGGTGCATGAAAGTATTTTTATGATTAGAAAGCCATAAACACCATCAGTAGTTTAAAAAAATCTCGGAAATTTAAAAATTCTGGATTCCCGCCTTATAAATGGCCTTTGAAACGTAAACAAAAGGCCCACAACATTATTGAGTGCAACTCAATCACCCTTTAGCCTTTAGCCTCTTAGAAGCTACACTGAAACATAATCCTATAATTAAAATAGCAAGTTCAATTTGCATAGAAAAGGTTAATGAAGAAGTTCTATATTAATATGTGCAGGGATTTAAATAGTTTGCGACTAAGTTTTAATATTACATATAATAGGTATAGTAAGTAATGTTTCTTCTTCCAGTGCATAAGCTTTCGCTTTGCTCTAAATCAAATTGAAAATTGTAGGAAGCCAAACAAAATCCGATTCAGCACTTTTGGGAAACTCTGAGATGCTGGATTTCCGGGGGTTAAAGGGTGGTGGAAGATGGGGGGCGGATTGGGGGCAGGGCACGTGCCTGGCCAGCAGAAAATGATCCGGGGATCTTGATTCTGCCGGCCATTGTAAACTATAAACAGATCTTTGATTACTGCTGCACATGTGCAGGGCAAACGATATATATATACGTACTATATACACGTACTATATCTGCGCCTTTAGCTCTGTGTGTATCTATGTGCTGACACTCCAAACGGCAGGCATTAAGTTAAGCATGCACAGCATGTACTTAGGAAGTGGCCTCTAGTGGCGTTCCCCGTCCTCCCAGCGATGGAAATTAAGTTCGCAGTTCGGAGAGTTCACTGTCTTGCCGGATTTGTTTAAATTGGGATCTGGTAAAGTGGCATGGGAACTTTGACCGTTTGGAAAGGTTCCTTTTTATAGTAATAATGTGGCTGAGTATTAAGAAAAGTTTAACTTATGTTTAAAATAGTGGGATAGTAATATATATGGTTACATTTTTATAGCTAAAATATACGATTTTCAATCTAGTTGGAAAAGTCTTTATATAAATATATTATAAATAAGGCATCAATTGCCTTTTTATTACGATTATGTTTTATGAAATCACCATTGCAACAACTTAGGAGAGTTCCACTTTTCGATGGTTGGAATTTTGTATTTTGTGGGTGGTTCTTTGCCATAGACAAAGCCCCTCCTCGATGGCTTTCAAGACACTACTTAAGAGATTCAAAGAGAAGACGAAGGCGAAACGACAAAATTTTAATGAATTATCACAGTGCCGGCTATGATGATGATGATGATGATTATCGCTGGCTGGGGCTGTCATTGAACCTGCTCAGCGGCTCCACGGTTCCGTCGCAGGGCATTGTCTATACCATCTTCCATCCACCATCGCCCATCTCCCACAATATCCATATTATGGTACCACACCATGGTATCTATCTATCTATCTAGCTATCTATCTATCCATCTGCGGATGGCGTTGCCATCGACCATTTGTCATCTGGTGGGCGTCGTTTTCCGATTCGGATTCGGAATCGGAATTAGAGTGAGGGAACCCAACTCAAGACGCGTCAAAGACTCCCCGACAATTTACCATTTTTAGGGGCTTCTCCGCACCCGGCTCGTAAATACACTGACAAAATACTATCTGGCTCAAAACGTAATATTTAAAATACAAACTAAATATATAACATTTTTAAAATATTAGGAACACTGCATAATTTAATAAAAAAATATATTTTAATTAGTGTTTAAAAATATAAGTTTTAAAATACTTACAATATGGTTTAAATTTAAATTCAATTTTCAGATATTTAAATTATTTTTGAAAATAGCCAGATATTTAAAATAATGAAAATTGCAATGATGAAAATCAAAGCGGAAAGTTCAGTACAAAATAATTGGATTTGATGGGTTTTTTGACCAATGTATGCTCGAACGTTGCGTGTCGCTCTGCTTTTTTGGGCTTACTCCGCTCGGGGCATTTAAATTTCAACAACATCTCAACTGAAAAGTCGAAAGGAGCTGGACGACCCGGTTTCCTTTGCCGTTTCCCGTTTGCTTTTCTGTTAATCGATTTTAAATTGGCGATTGATTGACTGAGATAGCCGATACTGGTACTTTTTCTTCTGGCCAGATAGCAGATAGTCCTTGTGTAACGCGATCGCTGCACTTGTCTCAGCACCACTTGAGATGCATTTTCCCGTTTTTCCGTTTTCCCGAAAATGCAGTCATCTCAAGTGCACTCCAACTGCAGTTGCAGTTGGAGTTGCACTTTCCCATCGCCTCGCATACAAATTGGATATTCTTTTTCCATTCGACACGCCTCGAGCTGTGTGTTCCATGTGGAAGCGATCATTATCTCCATTGGCATTATCCTTATTATCATTCCGAGTTTCTGTGTTTCAAGAATTTCACAGTTTACCGATTTGCTTGACCAAGCTCATTGTGTTGGGTTTGTGATTGATTGATTATCTTTTGAGGGTATAATATAAGCTACAAGGTTGCTTCCTTGTATTTTAAAATAAAATAATGTTTTAAAACTACTTTCTGGTAACTGAAATTAATGAAAATATAAAGATCAAAATCATTTTTGACTTGACCCAAAAATATAAGTATGCACAAAAAGCGCTACTTTTACTATTCTTTTCTGATTCTCAATATTGCGGCTATAGTAGTCATTTTTCGGTGCCCATCGTCACTTCGTTGAAAATAATATACGAGCAAAATGTAGTGGCAAAAGGAAAGGTATTGTCAGAAAATAGTTTTGTTAGATTTTTAAATAATTTGCAAGTTATTTTTCACACGCGACCGCTTTCACATCACAGCAATACGGTGGGCCAGTGGTTAAATGCAATCGAGTGGCCCAAAAACCCGTTCAGATCGAAGATCGCCGATAGATTTTTTCCGTAAGTTACACGCAACTTGTAGCATATACTTTTGTTATATACTTTTTCCTGGCCGAGGGAAATCACCGCTTCACA